GGGAGAGAGAGAGAGAGAGACGGCCAGCCCGGGGGCTAATCTCATTATCCTCAACAGTGGAAGAGTTAATGCGTTGTCGCTTCTCAATCCCCGCAGCGGAGACCTCATCACCGCGGCGGTCCCGCCCGGCGAACCCCTCGCAACCCCCCTGAAGACCCGTGTGCATGCTTCTGTTGCAGTTACGATAATGTAGACTCGCCTAATTATGCCAGGCACTTGAACGGGCACGGCTCGCCGCCGGCGACAAACTCGTCGTCCCAGCGCGATGGCATCCACGGCGGCACCGGCGGCGCATCCTCGCCGTACAATCACAATTATTCGGCCGATGGCAGCTATCAGTATGGCAGGTTCGACGCGAGCGCCCTACACATCGCCCATGCACTCAAGCAGACCGAGCTCCAGAAGGGCTACAGCAAGGCCCGCGAGAAACCCATCGATTATTATCTGGTGAGTCATTCCGGCCGGCCGCGGTTGATGTAATCGCTCTCTCGTCACGGTCGTCGCCGTATAAGGACGAGAGTGTTACTATTCCGACGCGCGTGCGGCGTCGGCCGGCCGACCAACCCGCTCGCGGATGTTGCGCGGACACGCAATTTCCTGAAGAACCGGAAAAATTGTTTTCTCCTATGGAGATCGCGACTTGAGCAAACGAGAGAGAGACACCGACCGGCGCACCGATATAGGGATCGGTTGCGCCGTGCAGGTGCAACAACCGCTTTCGCGTTCCTCTGCCAGCCTTCGGCGGCACGCTGGGGAAGGACTTGTGAAAATAATCGTTAATTAATAACACGAATTAGCAATGATAATTTCCGAGCGCGCAGGGAAGCGATAACAATGGCGAGGTGGTAATTGACTTTTTTTTTGCGCGCGTATGCAACCCGCTGGTTATTAGCTTCTTCCTGAAACCGGAGGAAAGAAGGGGGAAGGGAGAGTGCATTGTGTGTATGAGCGAAAATACGCACAATGGGCTGCTCTGGCTCTACTTCCGCAGTAATAAAATCCAGATCAATGGCGTGTGGATACAACAGCTCTTCTGGATTCTTGCAAAACTTGCGCCAAAAACCACCGGCCAGGTTTCTTTCGCTCGGTCGATTCGCATTAATATTAATTTAATTTAATTTGTTTCTAAATTTTGCTTTTAAAGAAATAAGTTAGGTAAACAAGTAATTGATATTTATATAAGACTAATCCGTAAGCATTCTAAAAGAATCTGAACAGAATAAAATAACAACAGATTAATCACATTTATATCTCAAGTAAATTGTTAATACATTAAAAAAGAAAATGTAGGTTATCGTTAATTTATTGAGCGCGGGGAAATTGAACGCTCTCGAGAACGAATATCTCGTGATAGACTAAACTTTAACCTCGGTATTTCCTTGCGCAATACGTCGATCCGGCGAAACCACAAGATTTCCAACCGCGGATTTCCGAATTTCCGATCGCGGGGGAATGCGATCCGGCATACATTCCGCGCCGCCGCGTGACTCTCATACGCGAATAATCGTCCGACTGGCGCGAGGCAGGAATGCGGCGAACCGTCGCGAGAACGGACTTTACATGAAAATGAGATTACCGCTTTTCCCATCCGCGCGCCGAGTAATAAGGCCGAGCCGCTAGTCGCTCCACTATCGGCCGCGTTTTCTCCCAATGCGCTTTCGCACCGGCCGGAGCGATCGCCGCCGTCTCGTGCGAGATCGATCCTTATTTATAGTTATCTCGCGGGACACATCCGCCGGTCTATGTTTGGCGTTACGAAAGCGGCGTGTGGGCACGCGGGAAGCGGGACGGGGGGGGGGAGGGGGGGACACGGCGGGTTTCGCCCGCCCTTCTCGTCCTACGAAAATTTATGCGAGGCGGTCGAATGACAATTCGCGCGGTAGCACGGGGAGGGTTCGTTAAGCCGCGCGCGAGAGACAATCGCGATTTTTCTCCCGCCGGCGGAATAATCACCGCTGTGATTTATGCGGTTTTCCGTATCGTCGTACACAAGGGGGGGGGGAAAGGGGGAGGGGTATCTCTTCCTACGCGCTCGCATACTGTCGGCGACATAGTCCGAACGAACTCCGCTCGGCCCACACGCGCCGATGATCAGATAATCGCTACGTGGCGGTAGATAGTCTCCTTCTCACGCCGGCATTGCGACAATCACCGGCATTACGTTTAATTGGCGGAACAGCGGGCCCCGGGAATCTCGGGAACGACGGGGACGCATAACAGACCGCTGCACGTGACTGTGATCGAATGAGCGAAATTACTCTGATATGTCGTGAGCCTCTTTCGAGTCGGACAAATAACTAACATACAAATAAAAGTCACGCGATAATGCCGGGGTGCGGAATGATCGAGATCCAGAATAGATATATGCGTTTGATTATTAATTCAAAGCGAAAAGGATTTAAGCGAGGATTTAAGAGGCCGTTTGTAATTGGTTCCAAAAATTGCTCGCAATATAATTTCAAACTAGAGATCTTAGAAAAATTAATTTCAAGCTTCTTCGATTGCGCAATAATCTAATGCGAAATTTAATTATTGAGATGCTGAGCAGAGAAAACTAAAAGTTATCAAAAAGCGGTCGAACAAAAGCGCGTCGCATGAAACTTTGCGCCTTTGTAAAGGCTCCTCGGAGCAAATTAACTTCCCTGCTGTCGCGCGCGCACTCGCGACTCTTTAGGATGCAGAAACAATGCTGCTGCACGTTGTCGTTCATGATTATTCAAATCGTTACCGCGGAAGAACGCGTATACACTGTCGTCTTATTTCCCTCGTGCGCGAAACCGCCGGGCGGGCAGGACGTGCGCGCCGTGTGCACGCGAAGGAAAGCTTTACATTTGTAGCGGGCGAGGAGGCGGGCATGGGAGGGAAAGGGGGAGGCGGCAGAATTATTTCCGCTTGCGGTACTTCTGCACTTGATGGCTAATTAGAGAATCGTTGCCGGGCCGCGGAAAGAGCCGGCGGGAATAGAGCGCGTGTACGCGCGTGTATCGCGCCGCCGTCTCTCACGCGCCTCCGCGCGTAAACGCTTAGGGAAAATTAATCCATTAAAGGCCGTTGTCCCATTTCCAGGAATAAACTGTAAACGGCAAGCAGATCTCTCTCAACAGATCAAAATATCTCCGTGTACACGTATCTGGGAAAATTCATCTCCGCGTTCCGCGCGCCGGTTTATCTTAAAATCATATTACGTGGGTGCAACTTCCATCTGTTTCTAACGTAATGTGGCTCGGTGAAAAGCCTAAAATACGATAAAAGAAAACTAGCCTTGAATTACGTCAGGTTGCACTCCGGAGTTTCGTTGGTCATTCTGAAAGATGTCACAAGCAGTTCTTCTCATGATAAAAATTATATGAAGGTCTTGCGCAATTTTGCTCACTTAATCCCCTTTTAACAGCTTTTCCTTCGTGAAATTAGCGTCAAATCTATTATTAATAAAATTGCCTAAATATTTTTAAATTACGTTTAACAAAAAATAATTTTTTTTCTATAAATACAAAAAAATATACTATTTCTGTTTTATCACTCTTCCTCGTTAAGTCTTAGTCGTTTAATTTAAATCAGGTACTTATATTATTATGACATAACTGCGGCGTGGGTTTCGCTAGCGTTCTTACATCAGCACGAATGCGAGAAAAATTATGTAACGTGTCGCTGACTGTAAAATTTTCATAAATAGATGTCACGAAGATTTATCAGTCCTTTTGGAGAATTGTATTTCAATTATTCATACGCGGCAAACCTTTGCTTTGAAATTATATCGGAAGAAATTGCACTGAAGAAATCCCGTCGCTTAATCTCAAAGAAAAGCCGTTGTTTACTTCACCGATAACATTCCCGTTCGTATTTCTATTTATTTCCGGTAGCGGCTACACGAGCGAAAAGAATTGTGCGCGACGCAGCGTATCATTTTTTAAAAAATACACCGGAAAAGGATTAGTTCACTTTTGTCGACGTGCGACGAGTTGTCGTACCCTTGAGGAGACTCTTCTGGAAGCGAATGAAAGCAGAAACGCGACGTGAAAGTAAATTATACAAAAAGTGGAGTACCTACCTCTAAGGCCAATGCTGCGGGCGTTTTAAGAAATAGAAACGTTTCATTGCGTCCGACCGTATCCACGAACTCCGCCTCTTTACGATTAGTGGAATGCTTCCTGACATGTAACGACACGTTAAACCTTAATTAGTAACGTAGCGGTCGCATGTTTGCTTTTTCAAAATTACGTGCTGAATAATGATCGCTCGAGGTATAAAATTTAAATTCCTGCGGCTATATTTAAGTATTGATCGCGTGAAAATTAATACACCATGCCGTTACATACCTATTTATTTTGAATATTATACTGCAATTGTATCGTCGCGATATTTTCTTCCACGATTATGACACTTCTCTCAATTAATTATGCAAATCATTGTTAACTGTAAGTTAAATATAAATTCTACGAATCGAGCATTTAATTTGTGTTTTTGCTGTTACCATTAGGACCGCGACGAGCAGACGCGTCTCGAGATGAAGCACCGGAAAGAAGAGGATGATTTATACCGGAAGTTTGCGCACCACCGCGAGGAAGAAGACAGACGAATTCGCGAGGAATTCCGAGTACGTAATTGAATGTAGATTCCAACAGAAACAATGTGATTTATTACTCGCATTTTGGCGAGTTAATTCTTTAAACATTGCAAATTGCGAGTAATTTGCACGAATTAAGTATTAATACATTGCGTATGGTGTATCTTTAAACAAGGACGAGTGGGAGAAGGAGCTGGAGCAATTGTCGGCGAGATGGGAACGGGAAAAAGGCGGAAGAGTTCGAACCCAACAATTTCAACAGGAGAAGGAAGACTTGGAGAAGAACATGACTCTACGCAGGGACAAGAAGAAGGAAAGTCTCACGCGCAAGATGCTGGAGCACGAACGGTATTTATTATGTAATTAACGCGATACTACATCTTGCTCTAAGATTGGACAGGTAACACTTACGGCGACGCATACTCCATTGCATTAAACGATGTATAATTTACGAGCGTAACAAAGAGTAATAGAAATCTCTCATCTTCTCAGCTGGATAAACGGACAATCTGAATAATTGAGACAACGTATACTTGAAAGAAAACAAAAATTGAAATAAACAGTAAAATTTTGCAAACACTTCGTTAAAGTTAAACCGAGCCACTTTGCTGTCCCGGCATTCACGCGCTACAAGTTTCGATACTTTTCACGTAAGATCTGTAATTTGTTTATCTCGGGTTTATTATGCAATTAAAAGTCGACAATCTAAAACGGAACTTTGCGTTACACGCGAGATTACGCATCGATTTTACGCATTTTTTTCGCTGCGAAAGAATTTACGAAAGAATTACGCGTGCGGCACGTTACGAGCCACGGCAGTTTCGGCTTCGTGTTTTTTTTTTCCTTCTTTTTCGGGCGATAAACAAGCTCGCGTGCAGCGGGCGCACGCGAACCAGGAAGCCGGGCTTACGCGCGCAACAAAGCCCCTCGTTACTCCTGATCAATTTATAGGGCGGCGACCGCCGCGCTGGTGGAGAAACAGAGCTCGGAGATGCTGGAGCTGATCAATGAGGCGAGAAGCGAGTACATGCTCCAGGAGAGTTTATACCTTGACGAGGGAGACGGTTATGCCGAGGAAGCGCCGCCCCTGCCTTACCCGTCGCGCGCGCCACCCCCGCAGCCCCCGGCCCTCGCCAAGTATCACATCTACAATGATCCTCTGGAGTTCGCTGACATGGATCAGATAGCTATTTCGGTAAGCTCTCACCTCGAAATTCTTTCGGCGCCTGACCTCTTCTCGCGAGTCATCCTCGCCGCCGAAACGAGATTTCGGTCTGTCGCGAATAGTTCGGCGACGCTATCCTCGCCTTATTGCTTTTTCTTTACGGCAGTCCATTTTGCAAGTTTGTTTATTCCAGTTTAATCACACGGGCTTGAAGAAACGAGCGAGTTCAGCTTGCTCAATCAATAAGTTAATATTTTTAGTTTTTTTTTTTCCTTTCTCGCGATCGAATTTCCGATGGTTATTGAGAAATCAGCTGGGGATTTACAAAAGCGAGCCAAGAGCCAGGCAATATCCATATTTTATCGCAACGCCGTTTGCATAAGACACGGTTCGCTGATATTCAACTGATTTACGATACCGATGTTGCTCTTAGGTAGCTCAAGAAGATCAAAAAACGTTCACGGACTTGGTGCGACAGTTGGTGAGCAGATGCGGATCCGATATAGAAAAGGCGAGGACAATATTCCGATGGATCACCGTGAAGAACCTCAACACTATGCAGTTCGATGAGAACTTACGAGGTGACACTCCCATGGGTCTGCTGAGGGGCATCAAACACGGCACGGAAAGTTACCACGTACTGTTCAAACGATTGTGCAGGTAACAATGTGTCACAAATGGCATCGTAAAGTACGAAAATAAACCCGTATAAACAATTTCCATTCCATCCATTATTTTTTTCGTTTTACGAGAAAATAAAGATTTTTATTAAGGAGTAAGTAAAGTGCTCTATAAAGAGGGGAAAAAAATCGAAAATATTTTATCACACCGGCGTAATCGTACGTGGGGGAGGGCTGATATACGTGAACGTTTCATTTTTACTGACTTATTGCGCCAATTCTCGCGTAACTCGTATAAAAGCGCGGAAGAGCGCGTAAAAAGCGCGCGGTAAAGTTTATAGGGGAATCGATGTTCGATATTCATTTACATATTTTACACCCGTGAAAAGCGGATTCGATCTCTAAATTGCGGCGAAATGTTCGAATACAGTTACGCCGGCCTGCACTGCGTCGTCATCAAGGGTTACAGCAAGTCGGCGGGCTACCAGCCCGGCGTTTGCTTCGAGGACAACCGATTCCGGAACAGCTGGAACGCCGTGTACGTGGCAGGTGCGTGGCGGTTCGTCCAGTGTAATTGGGGGGCGCGACATCTCGTCAATGCCAAAGAGGTCCCCCGGCCCGGCCAAGCGAAAGCCAAGAACGACAGTCTCAGGTACGACGAACCCGAAATTTGCCGTGATCCATTTCGTGATTACAGTGTTTCGTGCTCACCACGCGACAAATAAAACGATCAGCCGGATCACGAGAATGTTTCACTTAGGTACGAGTACGACGATCATTATTTCCTGACGGATCCACGGGAATTCATATACGAATTCTTCCCCCTGCAAGAGGAGTGGCAATTGCTCAAGCAGCCGATTTCACTTAAAGACTTCGAGGAACTGCCTTTCGTGCGGTCTCTATTCTTCAGGTAAAAAAATACTTTTATTTTTTTTTTTCTTTTATCAAAGAGAAATGTGGAACCATTGTCGCGCGAAATTAATTGCTGCACAATTTATGTTTCGGCCTTTCACGTAACGGAATTTATATATTATCTAGTGTCGTGTTAATTATGCGCTCTTTCATTGTTAGCTCAGATTTAGACTTAACAAACGCAGGCAGCAATAACATCAAATATATACAACGTGTTAATCATGTAAAATCCTTTCCATTGAAGTGAACGCGCAAGAGCCGTTAGAATACGCAATTAAACCGATGATCTCGCAAGCGTGGCGATTGCGCGCGCGAGCACGCGCTGGTCTATTAACAATGACCATAAGTTGCACGGGGAGAATACCGTTCGGATAAATTCTGCGTCTGCTACAGGTACGGCCTTTACTTTCCGGATACGAATACGAATGCCGTTATGTACACGGATTCCACCGGCGCTGCGACCGTGAGGATAGCGATGCCGGCGCATATGCAATCATCCCTTATCTTTCATTACAATCTCAAGTTTTACGACAATGACGGCGACGGCTACGACGGCGTGTCGCTCAAGCGTTTTGTCATGCAGGTAAATTGATAGCGACTCTACCGTACCCGCGCGATCATTTATCTCAAGCGATTTAAACGGCATCGTTTCGGTGTTTAAACGCCAGGAAAGTTTTATTAAACAGTTCATGTATTCCTGAAATCTTGAATATCAATGATCCAATAAGCCGTTTTAAGATTTGAGGACTTCATTTGAAAATTATAAGAAGGAAATCAGTTTTTGATCACGTAAATTTTACAATAGTTGTGAAATTTTGATCACATATTTTAATATTGTCATAATTGAATTTCTTTGTCGTTATTTTTACATTATGTCACACTTCTGTACGGTGTAATAAAAATATATTATGACTTTAACATAAATCTGCAATAAAATAGCAAGATATATGGCTCTTTGCGGTTTGAATAAATCCTGATAAATTCAATTTACAGTCTGTTGTGGGGAATATAGTTGCATTCCGAGTTCACGCGCCGTGTTCCGGTGCTTTTCTCTTGGATATATTCGCTAACGCGGTGACGCCGAAGGAGTACTTGACCGGCGAGCCGATGAAGTTCAAGAGCGTCTGCAAATTCAAAATCGCGTGTGAAGAACTGCAGACGGTGATGGTACCATTGCCGGATTGCGCCAGCGGCGAATGGGGCCCCACTAAAGCCACCAGGCTATTCGGGCTTATACCCATCACTCATCAGGTAGGTCAACCGGTTAAATCGATCTGCTTACAATTAGTTCAGAGCAAAAGACAAGATCGAATACCAGTGCGGAATATAGTGGTTCAGAAATGCATTCGGATTTCTATCTTTTGAGTATTGCATAAATTAACGATTGAATGAAGTTTTGAATTTTAATAACGATATTTTTGTGAAGAAATAATATCTCTCAAAAATTAAAAGAGCTGAACGAATATTTCTGCAATGCACACTAAAGCGAAATAATTATGTAATGCCTGAATTCAATTTGTTGCACAAACATTTTTTCTTCTCGTTTCTACACTCTTTTTCGGGAAAAGTATTAGATCGAAAAAAGGAAGAGTAATTCATTCAGTTCAGGAAAATTGCCAAGACAAGAATCTTTCGATCTTATCGGGTGCATGCAGGAGAGCGGCTCGTAATCGCGCGATCTATCGATTTTAGGAAGCTCTGGTGTTCGCCGGGCGCGAGCTCGAGATTCAATTTCGCATGTCGAGGCCCTTGACGGACTTCATGGCGACCCTGCACAAGAACGGCATCGAGGAGAAACGTCTCTCCAAGTACGTGACGCATTCCATCGCCGACGACGATGTGGTGACTTTCTCCATAAGCTTCCCCGAGGAGGGCCAGTACGGTCTGGACGTCTACACGAGAGAATCGACGGCTTCGCCGACCGCGCAGCATGACGTCACCGGCGAGAAGCATCTGCTCACGCACTGCTGCAAATATCTCATCAACTCCAGCAAGAGGAATTGAGAGCACGCTCGCGCTCTTGAGGCATAGTTTCGACTTTATCCGGAAAACTTCTACCAGTTTGCGCGCACGGCAATCGTTATAAGGAGTTTCAAGCCGGAGTTTCGGCATTCGTTAAGACGAATGACGAAGTCGGTGAGGAATGCAGTTCTTTTGTGGTCGGGGACGTTAAAATATTTGCAGGGACAGCGAGCGTTATCGCGGCGGAGACAACGTCAAAAGTTTCACGCCGACGATTGCGTGAATTTCGCTCGTTCCACCGAACAACTTATCCCGGCCTTACAAAACGACGCCGATATTTCTCGTTCTAGAAGTGTTTCCGGAAGTGCAATCGGTCTTTATTCGCCGATGAACTATCGACACTCAGTCATGAAAGAAAAGAGAGCGACGACGGCGGCGGCAAAATGACAATGGTGAAAGCTGTGGGCGCTTTATGTCATTCCTTAAGAACTACTTTTCAGTCGCGCAGATTAGATGACGCGGCACGCAATTCCGAGCTGACACGCTACCTCGAGTCTAACAATAGGTTTACGACTTGGAGAAAAACATTAATGTAAAATTAATTACGCAATATCCTCGTCGCGGGAGGAATACCTTCTGGAAGTGGCCGTGAGTTTCAGGTACGTTTCGTGTTCAAGCGGGTGATTTAATTTTCCGAGCACCCGCTAGGAACGTGCTCGAAACGGTCACGCTTGTATCATCATCTAGCAAGTTAGTATTTCCGTATAATGATCTTCCCGCGCTTCTTACCTAACGTATATCAAATAAATTATTGCGATCCGCGATTCCATCGCAACAACTTCACCTCCGAAGCTTTACTTTCACCGAGAGATCTATATTTATCGCTAATATTATAATAGATACATTATTTTCATATTATAAAAAGATTACATTATTTTCATTATTAATATACCTTCCCAATCGCGGATCCGCATTACGTCATGCGTGACGCATATAGGCCGGATAATGTAAGCAGATATAATATATTTTATGTACGAAGATGCTTCTCTCTGTATATAATGTACGTATACGATCATTACGGCCTGAAAATATCATTATCGACAAGGAAATCGTATTTCGTCGAGAGACTGTCTGCCCCGCCTTCCACCCACACACCCGCAACAATTCGCTCTTTGATTTCCGTTGAAATGTGTTTTGCGCAGGCATTTTTTTAATCTACCTTTTAATCAGAAAAATGTGTTTTTTTTTCTCGGAGTTTTTACATTTTCAAGTCGTAATCATCGAAATGCACAGGTGCTATACCTTATATTATCCTTTCTAATTATTCGCACAATTGAGTAGCAGTCATACATTTATTTAGGAGTAGGATATAACATCCGCACCATCGATTATGCGTAGAAAAATGTTGTTTGCAATAATTTAGAAGAATAGTATATATTTGTTAATCGTGTAATATTAATCTCTTCCTTGTTGTCAATTAAAATTTTAACCACGCTTAAGAAAGAAGCTCCTACATTATTGTCTTATGTAATAAGCATAACTCGAGCTTACGATACCTATTTTGTTATCCATTAACGTTCATAAATATGTAAATTAATTTTTATACTATAATTACTTAATAAAAATTGATATTTTCTTGTAAAAAAAAAATTTAATAAATTGATTTTTACAATACAATTTCGATTTATTTCAACTAATTCTCTCGACTTCTTTGTTAAATTTTTATCTCTTTGTTATGAATTTTTTTTAAGCATACAAATAACAATAAATTTTGATAACAACTGATGGCGTTAAAAATATTTTTAGTGTTGCATTGCTTAGAAATGTTAACTTATGAGTCATTTGAAAGTACCGTTCGCCATCGGAATAAAGATATAAAATTAATAAAAAGTAATAAATTAATGTTTGCACGACTCTCTGTTAAACAGCAACTCGTTGTATCATCCCATCAAGCATGGGAAACGTGATGGTACGTCCATCTTGCGGTAAAGGCAGAGAATTTAAGTTCTTGAACCGTATGACGATTTCACATAGGCTCGAACGAGCCTGCTATACTACGAGCACTCTTAGTACTATACTTTCGCTTCTAGATGGACATCCAGTTACAGTTTCAGATAAATCATAAATTTAGAAAAATTTACAAGAAAAATGGAATTTGATAAATTAAACGTATTAAAATTCCTATTAAAAACCTATTAAAATAAACCTATAAACCTATTAAAAACCTATTAAATAATAATAATTGACTAGTGAGAGTAAATTTCTTTTATTCTTATAATCAAGAAGCAAGTCTCTTAATGAAAATTTTCTCTAATAACTTGTCTTAATAACCAAAAATAGCTGCATTAATACTTGCAAATTATGTTTCCTATTCAGAGTATATCTTAATAATTAATAAATCTTAATAATTGTTTCCCGTCTTAGAAAACATTTCTTTTAAATTTAATATTAATGTATTATAATTCTGTACGATTATTTTGTCAAATAAAAATCTTAAAAGCGACGGAGCTACACAAAGTTTGCAAAAATATTACTTGATAAGTACATTTATAATCAGTATCGATTTATTTATGAAATTATAGCTGTGTGGTCGTGCGACCGCAGCTGTACTTGTCGTAAAGTTTGGCGAAGCGTGGGCGGCTTCTGCTTCTTCGGTCGTATTGTTTTTCAGCCCGGCTCTTTTTTCTCCCTCCCTCGCCCCGCCCTCTTATTATGAAAACTAATTATCGGGATTCGTCTTGTGCATTAGTTGGAAGATGAATCGTCATTTGCGATGGGGATTCTTTACTCGCGTTGCGGCGAGACGTTGCTAATTAAATAGCCGGTCGCCGGGTTGCAACCCCCGCACGCCGTTAACTTCCGGAATAAGTGGACGAGCCCCGGAATTGCTGGGAAAGAAGTTTCCTTATCCCGCGACGGTACGTGCGGAAAGAAAGATTTCATCGCGGGCGGACCACTTTGTGATTTATAGTCCGCTAACTGCTTATTGTAATTGCAGATGAGGGCATCCATTATTGTTATTATCAGCGTCGGCCGCGGAGACAGGACGCGGGATTTAGAAAGTGCTCTCGCCTTATCGTCGCGCGAAATGGGAATTCCTGTTCGCCGCGGTGGCGCGGCTAGAATTTTTAATGGCACTTACAGTAAAACTTATCGCGCGGGGACTCCACGTTTTATTTTTATTAACATAAAATTCCCTCCTTCCTCCACTCTTAAATGCGTATTATCATTATATGATGTATATTTAAATTATGACCAGCAAAATTTAATTGCAAAGGCCTTTAACATAAACGCAAATATATCTGAATTCATGCTTCACTCGTGCAACTTCTAAAATAATTGTTGTCCTAGTTAGCAGCTGTGCGAAACTCTAGAAAAGTAGCACAATTTCTCAGATCAATATTCTTAAAAGGTTTTGATCAACAACAATTTTTTTGCCAAGCATGAAATTATTATCGTTTTTTGATATTTATATTTTGGCTGCATATTGGAGTGCCCGTGTAAATTTCTTATTCTAAAATATTTGTGTGAGATATTTGAGTGCCCGGCTTATTGTGATAGTGAAACAGTTAAAAGATTTTGATAGTGCTAAAATACGTTCTCTTCTCGTTCTAGTTTTCCATTGTTTGATGATGGTCGCTTGTTAGGATTTCACGCTCTATACACACGCCATATAGAGATGATATAGACTCAAAGTGTTTAACAAGCTTCTTCCTTCGTTCTTTTTTCCTTGTTCTTCCTTCTATAGCCCGTTAGACGCCACGTCTTTATAATTGCTCACCGCAAATGGATGGCTATTAATGTATACGTCCATGCGCCGTTCCGGCTGCAACATCTTAATAACCGAGAAGTGCAAATAGCTATCTCTTGATACACTCTCTTAATATCTCTTCCTTCATAATTCAGCATAGTGTGGTCTTAAAATGTGTTTGACCGATACGTTTTTCTCCTTGTTTCCTTAACCACTAATAAACAATTTTATAACATATTATGCAGATACTTTTATTCCAATTTCCATGACTGCGCATATTTTAGAATTTACAAAAGATGGAAAATAAAGATTTGGCGAAGAAGAATTTTGATGTTGCGAATACTTTAAAAGTAGTTTTTTGTTTTTTAAGTAAAACTATTTTTCTCAACAATGCTGTCTTTCCGTCTTTGAAGCTTCTAGAAAAATATGATAACAGAAATTGAATTAAAACATTCCGCGTTTCAGAATATATAAGCTTTTGTATAGTTTTGCATTATTAAAAAATATTCATTATAAATATAAAATATTAACAAAGGAAAAGTGCATTTTTTCAAATAACAAATAAAATTAATTTAAACATAAAGAACTTTTGTCTTTTCATCTTTTGTTAACGTAAAAATTATATTCGTATTAATTTGCTGGCTATTGCATTTGCGTAATTAGAAATTTGCCATTATGTGAATACAATTAGAATAACTTGTGGATAAAAGTTCACATTTTTTAATTTAGTACTTATTAGGTTCAAATATCTGGTTATTTAAACCAGATATCATATGCGAAGGTAATATGTTGCTGTATAACCTTTTGCGTAATACAGTAACGCCTCGGGTCAGTTACATCAAAAGCCTCTGCAGCTAACTGTAGTTACTAATCTCTTTATGATTGTGCTATAGATAGAAAATTCTGTTAATTGCTACGCTGATGCAACTGACTGTTAACAACGTGCAACGCGACAAGTATAATTAAGGCAAGTTGAAAAAAAACGATTATTGTGTATAATATATGTAAAATTTTATAACTTGACGCATATTATAACGATGATATGCATGACTCCTTTACTAATATAATAATATATCGGAATAATTATCTCCTTAAATTTTTTTTTTACTTTATTTTGTATTGATATGTCAAAATCGCGCATACCAGTGATATATTATTCCATATTCCGAGTACTTCCATAAATTACGTTAGACAGCTGGCGCCTCAATAACAAGATATTTCCATTTGTCATTAATCGATGAAAAAATATTTATATCCCAAAAGAGATCTGAGTTTCTTTGATAAAATTTATACAAGATATCATTTATCTGTGCTCTCTCCTAAACACACACAACTTCTTATCGCGCAAACTAATATTGATAAAACTATAAATGATACACGTTATAAATCATATCTGCGACTCACAAAAATGACTAAATAATAAGAGACTGTGAAAAATTGACGAAATAAAATAGAAGATTTTTTTTGTTCGCCGTAAAATATGATCTTTAAATGATATCGTTGTTATATACAGGCGCGACGTAATGTGATAATAATTTTAATTTCGTCACGTTTGGGGGAAACGTCAGAAACGACACCGTTATCCCGTGCATGCATCGTATCGGCCCGCTTAAAATACACAGCCGTGGAACGTAAAAGCTATTGCCTTTACGAGTGGACTATTTTTGCCGGGCGGCGCGCCGCACGCCCACCGCCGCCGCCTCCTCTAATCTAAGGCGCGAGCATCTATAATGCATGCCGGGGCCGTGAGGGTATTTCTAATCCCACGCAACCCCCTTGTGGGGGCGCAGATAGAGAGTCGAAATATCGGGCGTCGAAGTAGCGCGCGCTGTTTTCGTAGGGGGCGACCGGGTTGCACCCTCACCTCCGCGCCGTCGGCGTGAGTCACGCGAGAACGGCTGTGCGATCGTCGAAGATCTCTCGCGACGAGACGGAAACGGCAAAGGGATAAGATAGCTCGGAAACTCAATCCCCTTGCGTGTGAATTTCCGTGCCCGGGTAAAAATCTTTAAAGCTCGCCTTGATAGAAACGAATATTACGCGCGACGGAAAGTTCTACGTTATTATTTATCAACGGTTGGTTTGGAAAGAAAAAAAAAAAAAATACGTTTTTAACGGAGGCATGGCAAAGGCAATAAATTTTACATGTCAGCAAAATGATATGGAAATTTTATTCCAGAGATTTTATTGTGTAGTTCACTTGTTATAAAATGGAATTAAATTATGAAATATCAGGTTGAGTCATTTACGTGAATTCGTTATAATTCACGTGCGCATTTGTTTGTTCTAATACGAAAAATGATAAAAGCAAATTTTTCTGGGCGGGGCGAAATTTTATATAAATATTATTTCTACATTTAAAATTGTGAATAAATTGCTATAGTATAAAGCGAAATAAAATGCAGAGAATTATTCAAACAGTTTATTTCATTTAGGCGCATAAAATGCGCAGGACTTAAAAGCTACAATATCGAACGGCAGAAATAAAAAAAACTCATAGAGTGTTTCTACTAATAAGCGTTCAATTCTAAAGTGGATAAAGTTTCAAAAAATAAAAAAGTTTGTTACTGTGACATTTGACCCCTTTGAAGATGTATTTTTTCTGAGGTCATAATCTAAATTTAAGTTTGACTATTTATAACAGCGCTAAATGACCAATTTTTTGATGACCTGATCAATCAGAGAACTGACCAAAGCAAGTTAAAGTTTGATACGAATATCGAGAACTTCATCCATTTTAGGATCTCATATATAAAACAAACGAGCCGAGTGTTTCGATTTTGTTGCTGCAGCGTGATAATGACAGAACGGCAGAAAGACCTCCCGAATAATAACAATAATTCGACGGGAGCATCGTCGGGACTTTCGATATTGCGACTACAAAAATCAT